GGGGGAATGAAAATTCATTCTCATTTTCATTCCTTGTCATTTTCATTTTCATTCATATTTTCATTCTAGATAATTTCTCAAAGCATAGAATCACATCGAATGGTTCAAAATTACATAAATGCACTTTCTCCTCGGAATAGAATATTAGACCAAAAATGGGGTTTTAGGAAGCAAAATGGCTCGAAATTAACAAAAGGATATTAAAATAAAAGGCATATAATAACTCTAAAAATTAGAGTTATCACATGTCTCGTCCAGTGATAACCAGTTTTGTCCTATCAAGTCAAGTCCAATCATGTTTGTGTATCGATCGCTACCTAAACGAATGGACATGAACACTAAAATTTTTGTTCGCTTGCTGTTCGTTTGTTCAGTTAAGTTAAATGAATGAACATGAAGAAGCTTTTGTTCTTGTTCATTCGGTTCGTTTAAAGACCTAGTGACCATGATAAAAGAGGTTATTGCGATTTCTATATTAGGACGTAATGCTTCTAGGCTACTGATAGCTCAATTTACAAAATCATATAAATTTCATTGTCAATGATATACAACATATATTTAAGTAATAAATAAAGTTCAACATTCGTTATTATGGATACACAAGTAGTTAATTATGTTAAATAAAATATACGTATTTAAATATAACAAATTTAATACCAAAATAATTATAAAGATGACGATGAAAAAGATGCAATAAAGAAGAAGAAAAAAAAAAGTAGAAGTCGAGAAAACCTTATCTTCCCATCTTATACCAATCCTCTTCAAAGACATACTTTTTTCGGGGTATTTTTTTGTTATATTTTTATTATCGAAATTTTTTAATAAGTGTTTATAAATAAAAAATGATATTAAGACCCATAAATAAACAATAATTTAATATTATTTTAAAATAACAACCAATAGAAAATGAATATAATAAAATTTGTATTATTTTTTTATTTTTATATGTTAAAAATTCGTGCGTGTGAAATTTATTTTTGTAGTCATCTGAATTTTATGATTCAAAGGTTGTAATAATTAATAAGGGAAATTTAGAAAAAAAAATAATATTATATTTTAATTAATTAGGTTTTGATTTTTTTTTAATAAATAAATTATGAAATTATGATTTTTTTTTAATAAATAAATCATTAAACTAGGGGTAAGAGGACGGGTTTGTAACCCAATCTAACCTTTGTGGGTTGGGTTAGGTTGGAATGAGTTAGTAGTATACATAAATTTGATGAATTATCACATGGGTTTACATATGAACCTCTTTGTCGTTTATTTGTAAAAGTTACGAAACCCTCTCTTTATCTTCAACATATCCATACATATGTATATCTATATACATATACATATGTACATACATACATATATACATACATACATACATATACATATACATACATGCATGTATATATATATATGTATATATAATATACAAAATATATACTTTAAAACACGATAAAGTGCGTTAAATTTTCTATAGCACCCGACAGATACACACAATCACATGTCTTTCCCATCAAAATAAACATCAATAAAGGAAAAGAAAATAACATTTGGATAAAGATTCCAAAAAGAAGTACAAATTTAGCTTTTGAAACAGTAATCTGTAATATAATCTTCTATCATTTTTTTAAAAAAAATCTTTTAAAATCGCATTATTATTTATTCACAATTTCTCAAATGTATCATTTCATATTTAAATTTCATCATATATTCTTTATTATATGAATTTTTCATAAAAAAATGATAGAAAAATATACACTTTTATGTGGTCAGAGAAAATACTTTGCCAAGAATCTTTGGGTACAATTGAGGGGATGGTTTTAGTGGCCATTCACCATGACAAAAAAGCTACAAAAATCCACAAAATATTTTGTTGGATATTTTTAGATATCACATAAATCTAAATGTCATAAATATTAGTGTAAATTACAATTTTCATCCTTACAGATTGTGAGAGGTTGCAATTTTCGTTCCTGTGATTTTGAAATTTCAATTTCTGTCTCCATGAATTTTGATTTATTGTTGTTTTCGTTCTTGAGACTAAAGCTATTAAAAATCCTTCATTTAATTTAGGGTTATTTTAGTCTTTTTGATTTAATCAAACTATATATTTTTTTATAAAAGAATTAATATATAAAAAGTTTACATGATTTTGTTATTGTTTATGATAAAATTATTAAATGTTTTTCATACAATTAGTTGTTTCATATTTTTGGTCATTATAGTTCTAGTTTCTTCTTAGTTCGATTTTGTCAATAGCATCATTAAAATGCGAGTCGTTGAGTATCCCTCACATAATAGTATTTTAATTCCTTTTCTTCACGAGGGACTAAACAAATATATATATATATATATATATATATATTTTGTTTCAAATGCAACTCATCACATTTGTACAACCAATGCAATCCAATAAATTAAAATATTTATGAAAATGATAAGAGCTTATTTATTATGATTTAAATATTTATGAAAGATGAATAAAGTTTATTAATTATAATCAATACTTTATATTAGAAAACAATCAAAACTTCTATGAAATTAAATATATATGTATGTATGTATGTATG